AAAAATGTATAAACATGTCATGAAACATAGATATTTTGTTATATGTGAATCATGAACTCACATCTCTCTGGACATTCAAATGCTTACCTGGTGTGTCTCTAATGAACAGGCTTTTACTTATTACTGCATGTAGCAGCTTCTGTAGGACATCCTTCTGCTTGTGTGGGATCTCTATACATCTGTGTTTATCTATATGCATGTGCTTTAGTTGTTCAAGCATGCGCGGGTGGATAGGACAGGGCATGGGGGTTACCAACACCACAATCACTGTTTTTGTTGTGAGAAACCTTCTAGATCTTTTGCTCCATTTCACTCAACAGAAAAAAGCAGCTCGATTTGGACGTCAGGAATTTTCTTTTCCGATGCAGTTGGTCAAATGATAAATGGTGAAGAAGAATAAAACTGTAGATAAACCAAGGACACATTTAGAATGCATATTCTGGTGATAATTAGATAAAAAATACTTATATATATAACAAAGTTCTGTGCTATGGGAGACAAGAGAAACCTGAATCATGATCTTTCCTTGCACCAAACTTTCACCTATGTTGAGAAGGTGAGGCATAAACACACGGAGTGCTGACAGGAGAGGGTGACGATTTGTTAGAATGAGGCATGAAGACACGAGTGCTGACAGGAGAGGGTGATGACTGTTAGGATGAGGCATGGGCACACGGAGTGCTGACAGGAGAGGCTGGGGGTTGTTACGATGAGGCATGGGCATACGGAGTGCTGACGGGAGGCTGATGGTTGTTAGGATGAGGCACGGGCACATGGAGTGCTGACAGGAGAGGCTGACGGTTGTTAGGATGAGGCATGAGCACACGGAGTGCTGACCGGAGAAGGTGATGACTGTTAGGATGAGGCATGAGCACACAGAGTGCTGACAGGAGAGATGGCTGCTGTCAGTGGCTGCCTGTCGACACTGGTCATCTTTTGGTTAGCTGTCAACAATTTAACAGTTTATCCTCACCAGAGACTCTCAGAATTTGAGATAAACAAGAATAGTGTTAAGAACCCAAGACAGCTGACATTATTTTATTAGCTATAAATCCCAAGTTTGATGATAAGCAACACTTAGGAATAGGAGAAACCATCTGTGATTGGGACTGCCTGAACAGTTTGGCCACAGAACTGCTGTAGGTTGTAAATGCAGAGCACTTGGAGGGACATCAGAAGGGGTGAGCGCTGGAGCCGCCTTCAGGTTTTGGGAAGTCTTCATTCTGTGGAGAAGGCAGAGGTGACCACTGGGATAGGCAGAGAGGAGGGTACTCGTGGAGAAAGCATGAGGCATCTTGGGTGATGATGAGAAGGGTCAGAGCAGACCAGGGAAGCGAATGAGGACAAGATGGGTGGTGGCCAGAGTAAGGCCTGAGAAAATGAAGGGTTTTCTTTGGGAAGAGACTGGAAACTCCAACATCATCACAGAGGAGCGACACAGAAGAGGCAGTTTAAGAAACTGAATATGAGGGAACTCTGGTGGCCTAGTGGCAAGAAGCTGCACTGCAATCCCAGAGGTGAGTAGTTCGAATCTACCAGATGCTTTGCTGGAGAAGGAGGGACAATCTCCTCCTGTACCAGTCAGATCTGATTAGACAGTACACATACACACACACACACACACACAAAATAATGCTATTATGAAAAAAAGAAAGAAAATTAATATGGCACCAGCACAAGCTGAGGGCTAGCTGAAGTTGCCTGAAGGACTGAGCTGGATGTGAGGGGCATCTCAGGAGCAAAACCCTTGGGAAAGACCGGCCCGGTGGGTGAAGAGAATGTAACAGTAAGTTACCTGCTGGTATTTGAGGTCATGGAGTTATCCAAGGTAGTGGGAAGATCACAGCTGAATCGGCAGAGGGACATTTGATCTGGAAAGAATATGCGCAGTGACAGTATTCGTGCCATGGTCCTGCCAAAGCTAAGTGTGCAAACAAGAGAAAGGAAGTGGGTTGAGAACAGAATCTCAGATTAGGTAGAAGAATTAAGAGAAGACAACATGACAGGAAAGAACAAGGGGAGCTTGTTTCCAAAGGGGACACAAGCTACCAGCTTCCACAGTGGAGTGTGTGAAGCACGGACACTCCGAAAAGAGCCAGCTAGAACTGGTTTTCTAGTAATTTTTAGGGACTGTGGCAGAACACACATAGTGAAGATATAGGGGAAGCAGGCACAGACCAGCTGTTCTGGAATAAAGGGCTATGCACATGTGTAGGAAGAAGGGAAGGGGCCACTGCAGAGAAAGAATAAATGGTGAGGATCTGGAAAGGATTAAGATTAACTGAAGAATGAAGGGAAGTTGAAGTAACAGTGTTGACACTTGGGACTTTTAGAGGTCAAGACCACTGAACAGTCAATTACAGAAAGCACATAAGAGAATGAATGACCACAAGACCTGTCTACAGCCCCCCCTCCGCACCCCCCCCAAGATGTGGGTCATAAACAAGTGTTTTCTTCTGCATCTGCCCTACTCACTGTCTTCTCCACAGGCAAGCCCAGATTTCCCAAGCCAGCCAGCAGGAGTCTACTACAGGATCCGACTTCATATAGATGGATCATATAGACAGATATTGTTGTAGAGAGAGACTATAACTCGGCCTAGCTGTGACCAGAAAATGCATGCAAGAAATAGCCTCAGAAATGAAGGTAGGCCAGCATCTAAGACAGGAGGGAGAGGAGAGAGTGCATGATGGTCAAAGAAGTTTGACATGAGAAGGAAGGGGAAAGAATTTGTAGTAATCTAGGTCTCAGTAATGTGGCAGAGAACAAGGTGAGAGAAGTGAGAGCTGATCTGTGGTGAACACAACGACCGAGGAACCACAGAGATGTCCAGCTGAACTCACAGTCACTGGCAGATGAGCTGAACAAGAAACACTTGCAATGCTTCATGGAGAAAACAGCAACCAAGAGGCCACCACAAGGCATGCAGCCAGTGGACTGCAAGGGGAGGGAAGGAGATCAATGAAAACAGCCACTCACATGTCTAGGATTTAGTTAGAAAAGAGGTAAATAAGATCAGAAACAGGTGTGCATCTGCTTCAGAGGCTGAAGGACTAGGGGCACAGAAGGCAGTAAAATGCAGAGGTGTAAAAGTGAGGGCACAGAATGGCTGGGAAAGGGAGGACAGAGCTGGCTGCCTGTTGGTTGGAGAATGGATTGTAGAGCCTGTGATCTCAGGAGGATGAGCTGGAAGTGAGAGAAGCTGCAGGGGTGGGTACCAGGAATGACAAAAACATGGCCAATGAGTGAAGATGATGAAGGGAACTAGTGTGATGGAGCCTACAAACCACCTGTCAAGTCCCTGAGGAAGACCAAGACCGATCCGAGGCAAGTGGATGCCAGGATGGAGTTATGTAAGGGCCTGAGCTGTCCCAAATACATTTGTCTAGTTTGAGACAAATACTTGAATGAAAGCATGCACGCACCTCTTCACAGGTCCTGAGACTTATAGATGGCGCAGTCACTGCCAACATCCCACTCCATCCTCTGGAAGAGGTAAACCATGGCACTCTCCAGAAGTAATCCACTCAGGATGGCCAACAAGGACAGCTTCCGGCTTGTGTTCAGGGTCACTAGGAAAGAAAAGCCCATGAGCTAAGGGTGTGAAAATTTAAGCAAATTTTATTGGCAAAGTAAAGTAGGTTTTGTACAGACAAGTTGAAAATCTGTTTCTGGCTCTATTAACCTATGCTGGACCTTCTATTTTCCCACTTGCAACATTTGGAGAGCCAACTGTTGGCTTGTAACAAAATCTACTTGTAACAAAATCATTGAGTTTCTCCTCAAATTAAGAAGCACATTCCTATGAATATTAGAGAGGAAACTAAAAATTAGATTCTAAAGTTAATAAAGAGCAACAATCTACAACCAGGAGAGGATAAAAATAGATGAGTGGGATCTCTTAAGAATAAAATCCCTACGCACATCCAAAAACTTCTCCAACAGGGTAAATAGGGAAACTACAGATTTGGAAAAAATATTTGGTAATGACATGTCAGACAAGGGACTTACATCTAGAATTTATAAAATACTTGAGCACCATAACAAGATAAAAGTAAGTAACCCAACTGAAAAATGGGCACAGGATATGAACAGACACTTCACCAAAGAAGACAGTCAGATGGCAAACAAACATAAAAAGAAGTGTTCAAAATCCCTAGCTCTAAGAGAGATGCAAATCAAAACAACTATATCATCTCATCCCAGTAAGAATAGCAAAATTTAACAGAACAGCAAACATCAAATGCTAGCATGGTTGTGGAGAAACTGGAACCCTTATTCACTGTTGATGGGAATGTAAAATGGTGCAACCACTATGGAAGGCAGTATGGTGCTTTCTCAAAAAGCTGCTAATAGAAATACCAATTGACCCAGCAATTCCACTATTGGAAACTTATCCTAAATAAAGCATAACTGCTAACCCAAGCAGATATATGCAAACCCATGTTTATTGTGGCTTTGTTCACAATAGCAAAGAGCTGGAAAAAACCCAAGTGCCCATTAACAAACAAATGGATAGAGAAGCTCTGGTATATTCATACAATGGAATACTATGCTGCATTAAAAAACAAGGAATTCATGCAGTATTATTCAAAATGGGTGACCCTAGAGGACATCATGCTGAGTGAAGTATCTCAGTCACAAAAGGACAAATACTGCATGGTGCCACTGTTGTAAAACAGGACTGACATTGGGGTTGGGGGAGACTGAGAAAGATGGGTTCAATAATGTATACTGCACTGAAACACATGAGGGAGAAAACTGTTTAAGGAGGATATGTTTTTAGGTATTTTTGTCATAACAGGAGTCCAGAGCGAAGGCTGCATAGTGGAGTGGACCTGGGGGGGAGGGATTGTAAAACAATGAAAGAATTTTACTTTTCCTAGAGGGTAGTGTACTGGGGGGAGGGTTGGGAGGGGCGAAAAGTGCAACAATGAATGAAGGGAAATCCAAATTCTCAGTAAATTTTCATTGAAATTAATAAAATAGCTCATGAAATACTATGCAAAATGCATGACCCTGGAGGACACTATGCTGAGTGAAATATCTCAGTGACAAAAAGGACAAATATTGCATAGGGCCACTGTCGTAAAATGGGACTGACATCAGGGTTGAGGGAAGACAAAAAAGGAGGGGAGGAATGGTGTATATTGCATTGAAACAGATGAGGGAGAGAACTGTTTAAAAGGGATATACGAATGGGTATTATTGTCATTACAGAAGTCCAGAGTGAAGGCTGCATAATGGAGTAGACTTGAGGGGGAGGGATTGCATAACAATGAGTTTTTCCTTTTTTTTTTTCAAGGAGAAGAGTGAATTGGGGAGGGTAGGCAGGGAGAGAAGTGCAACAATGAATGACTGGAAACCATAAGTCTCTGTAAACTGTCATTAAAATTAATAATAATAAAAAAAGAGTAACAGAAAAAAATTACATTCGTACTATCAAAGCCTGCAGAAAGGTAAAGAGTATAATTAAAAATAAGTTTATTTGAAACAGCACATCTTATAATGGGTGAGGAAAAGGGATACACCAAGCCCTTTCCAACTGCAGGCACTACACTGGATAGGGACGAAGATTGGCCCACATTCCACCGTGGGGCACCTGGTGTGGCAGGAACCACACTAGATGGGGAGGCAGACTGTCCACGTTCCACTGTGGGTCACCTAATGTAGGAACCACACCAGATTCAGACTGCCCACACTCCACCATGGGGCACCTGGTGTGGCAGGAACGATACTAGATGGGGAGTCAGACTGCCCACATTCCACCTGCTCTTCCATGGAACCCTGGAACTGTCAATTAACTATCAGAGCCCATAATCACATCCAAAAAATGAAATAACAACAGCTGCTTCATTATCATATATAAAAGAAAAAAAAGAAAGAATTCTGAAAACAATTTTATATGGTTAAATTTAATAAACATCACATGCCTGATATGACATCAGATCTGCTAAATTCCTATCAAGAATTCTAGTGTTCTGTATTAAAACCATGATCCAGATCCAGGGCTTTAAGCTTTTACATGGGTTTAAAGCTGAAAAGGCAGGATGAAAACAGAAACATACCTCTAATGGCCTGAAAGTTTGATGTAAGGACAAACACTTTGATGAGTTTGAGGCACAGTGGTGTGTAGTCATGTTCCCAAATGACAGCTGGAATCAGCAGGAGTTTTCCATAGCTAGACAGTAATAATGCTTTCAGCAGTAAAAGGAAGTTGGGCTTTTTCTCCGCTGTCATTGGTTGTTCAACCCACAAAAAGGTAAAAATGCCAATAAAAAAGGCGGTTTGTTCTATGGAGGAAATGGAAATGAAATATATGATAATGTCCCCATCTAAACCATAGTCCTCTAAAAGAAAATATACAACAAATCCCAAAAGATTACTCATCAGCTGACCGTAAGAAATGCTTTATGAGGATCAATTTTCTTTTATAAAACTGTAGCCCCGACTTTTTTTGTTAAAATCCCATTAGTATGATTTCACATATTCCAGCACATCTTTCATAAAGAATTTCACCATCCTCTAAAGACAGAACAACTTTGAGTTACAATTAGAGATTTTTTTTTTCTGCCCCCATGTTCCTTCTAAGGAGCAATATTCTGTTCAATCATCTTCACTGAGAGAGATCTCCACAGAAAGAAAGAATGATCAAAAGAGAGAATTTTCATTGTGGAGGGACCCATCCCTGATTATTAACCTAGGAAGACATTTTTCTTCATTGCATTGAATTTGCTACTCTTCAAGGAGATAAGCCTTCTCCCTTCAGAGGACACAAAGGACCGTCAATTGTGAGAATCTGCTCAAACACAAAGATCTCAAAGATTGGGTGTTCAATCAAGAAAAATAATAAGCAGCTCTCTGGCAACAAGAACCATCTGATAGTGGAGGCTGTCTCCTGTTGCTCGACTCAGTGCTTCTGAGTAGTGATCATTCATCGTGCTTTTGAGGTTGTGAATCCTAACGAGAGGGGACTGCTCGACTGTGAGTAGCCTCTGGATGACCTGACCTCTGGAGACAAGCAGCATCTGTGTTCACGGTGTGGCTGGCTCAAGACTGTGCCACCAGCACTCCTGCTCCAACCCTAGATACTCAAAATGAACCCCTCTCAGGACTCTACAGGGCAAAGGGTTTCTGGCACTAGCCAGGATGGACATTTCTCATGCTTTTTCTTAGAATTTAGAAAACTGCTCTGGACCTCTAGCTCTGCAAAATTCTGCCCCAAGTCAAACACTGCGGATGGAGTCCCTGTTCCTGAAGGTCTTCACGTTAAGGTAGATCCAGAGTGGCCAATCTACAAAATATCGCTGCATTGGTCCAAGAGTCAAGGGTGACTTCTCAAGTCATGAAGCATGAAGGTGAATTTTAAATTGATTAGTTAATTGGGATGGTTATAGGTGTGAGGGCAGAGTGAAGAAAAAAGAAGACATGCTGTGCAGAAATCTTACACTCTGGAGTGGGCTGGAGGCTCTGTGCTACCAAGTGCTTCCATACAATCAAAGAATGCAGAAGCAAAGCGTGAAAGCCAGAAGTGGAAAATTCATGGAAACTCAGGCAACACACATTGGACCACAGGAAAATAATGGTCTAAGTTAAAATTTTCAAGAAGAGTCCTAAATCAAAGAATCTGGAGACAAAGCAAACCTCTCCAAATGCACTCAAGTAAGCGACTCTTTTTCTCTATTACAAACACGAGATTAGCTTAGTAATTGGTAGCATCTGCCTGTTAACAACTTGTTTTAACCAAGATGGGTCCTAGGTAATTTTTAAATTGGACCATCAGAACTTAGTTACTAAAACTTCATCAACAATGTTGCATTTCTATAGAAATTATTCTATGGAACGCTGTGATCTGATAAATTTAAGAGTCTCAGTGGCACATACAACTGAGTTCTCGACTGCCAACTCAGAGGCTAGAAGTTTGATTCCATTCAGGTACATCTCAAAAGACAGCGTGGGAGATGACCTTGTATAAGGGCACAGCCACTGAGAATCCAGGCAAGTAATTCCACTCCAACACCCACGAGGTTAGCTGTTAGCTGGAACCACCTGGCAGCAAGGATTCTGATCCATGCCCCCAGCTCATGTACAGTAACAAACAGGAAAACTCACCTACTAGGTTAGCGTGGTGGAACTGATGGCTCATCCTCAAGTAGTACACAGTTACAAGCGCCTCCTAACAAGTATTAAGACCTAGTGCTTGGTTTTCATCAGAACTGCAAACCAGTTAAGTAGGAACAGAAAGAGGGACCGCTTCTTACCTAAAGAAGCAATTGCGAACATTCTGTAGAACTCCCATTCCTTAGCGTATCTGATCAAGTCATCAGGGTCAATGTTCTGGTTCGAGTCCTGAAGCTGCCACCACCTCAGGTATGCCTCACAGAGCAAACAAAAGATGCACAGTTTTCCATGGATCTGAGCAGCAAAATGACATCGTCATCCAGTTAGTTCAAGAAAAACTTAGCAATGTTTGTGCCTACAAATGTTAAGTATAACTAAGCATTTGTGGTTTAGAAGAATGCTCCATTTTATAGCTTTGCAAATGTACAACTGTAAAACTAAGTGCCTAAACTTATACTCATCCTGCCCATTAATGTTTCTTTTTTTTTTTTCTTTCCATTAATGTTTCTTAAGCAGTGATACCCAGCAGGGGCATTCAGGAGAAACTTTCAAAGCATAGTAATTAATTCTATAAAACATAACGTACATGAAGGATTATATAAAACACAGTGTACATGAATGAAACACAATGGATATGAATGATCCTCAATGTATGTGAATGTATGCAAACCATTAATAATAAAAAGAACAGAAAATACAGGAATGAGATTGAACAATGAAAAGTTCAGGTTGTACTGTTAATGAAATAATAAAAGGAACAATTCTGGAAATATCTATTACATTTTAAATTTGTTGTTGTTATGTGCCATCGAGTCACTTGCGACTCATAGCAACCCTATGTACAATAGCCCTAAACTCTGCTCTGTCCTGTGCCACTCGCACTGTCTCCGACACACCCCTCCCGATTACCCCAGTCACTGAATCAATCCACCTCATAGAGGGTCTTCCCCTCCCGTGCTGTCCCTTCGCCCTACCAGGCATGATGTCCCTCTCCAAGGACCAGTTCCTCCTTACAACATGCCCCAAGTATGTTAGACAAAGCCTCAGAATCCTTGCCTCCAAGGAGCAACCCGGTTTAACCCTCTCCAGGATGAATCTGTTTCCTTAGCAGTACATAGTACCCTCAATACTCTTCTCTAGCACCACAGCTCAAAGGCATCAATTCTTCTACCCTCCCTAGTCATTGTCCAACTCTCTGATGCATAACAAGTGATTGCAAAGACCATTGCCTGTATCAGATGCACCTTAGTCCCTGGAGAGACACCATTGCTCTTCAGAACTTTGGAAAGGTCCCTAACAATAGACTTTCCCATCGCAATACATCTTTTAATTTCCTGGCTACTGGTGCCAAGAGTGTTGACTGTGGAGCCAAGCAAACTGAAGCTGTGAATAATCTCAATCTCTTCACCATCCATCCTGATGCTGCCAATTAGTCCAGTGGTGAGAATCTTTGTCTTCTTGACACTGAGCCTCAATCCATATTGGAGGCTGCAGTCCTTCACCCTCTCTAGCAAGCGCTTCAGGTTCTCCTCAGTTTCAGCAAGCAGGGTTGTGTCATCTGCGTAACACAGATTGTTAATAGATTTTCTACATATCTTGACCCCACATTTCTCCTCATAGAGCCCAGCCTCCAGGATAATCTGTTCTACATACAGGTTGAAAAGGTATTGATACATCCCTGGCATACATCCTTCCCAATTTTGAACCAAGCAGTGTTTCCTTGCTCTGTTCTCATGACTGCCTCTTGGTCCAAGTCTAGATTTCTTTAGACTTAAAAAATACTGTCTCGGCTCCAGACCTGTTTCTCATGCCTAAGCTCAGAATCTTTGGGAGTATGATCCTGGTACCTATGCTTTGGAACAGTTCCTGAAGGATTCTAACAGGAACCTTTAGTAATTACTGCTGCTTGAAGTAAAAGTACCTTTGTTATTTATATCTTCACTATGTGTCACACATGAGGAGTCCTGGTAGTACATTGCATAATGCACTGGGTTGCTGACTGAAAGATTCACCACTCTGCAGGAGTGATCTCAAGCCTTGATGGCAGGCTACTGTGAGCTACAACCACTCTATTGGAGTGGGTTTTGGCTGGGTCCCCCCACAGAATCAAGTACATGATTTACATGACTCCCGCACAGAAAGAGAACTCTGGTGGTGTAGCCCACAGTGAGTTGCTCTGCTAGCCCAAAGCTCACAGCTCTCCAGTAGTCCAAACCCACCAGCTGCTCCACGGGAAAAAGATGTGCAATCTTTTCCTGTGCAATTTATAGCCTCAGAAAACCTGCTGTAGGGTCAGCTATGAGTCGGTCCGACTCAGCAACTAGAGAGACATGTATAGATGGAAGCATCAATAAGACCAGCTTTAATCTCAAGATTCTCTGATGCTTCATATGGAACTTAGTCTAATAAAAGGAGAAAGGCAGCCTCGTTGCTGGGTGAGTTGAAAGTCCACACACAGGAGCCCTGGCTTATGATGGAAGCCAAGTCTGTTATGATGGAAATCAAGGGCGTTTTTAAGTTTTCACTACTATTCTTTTTACTAGCACTGTCTTTTTAAATCCTGTTGGCATCAATATCCTAACAATGAGAGCAGAGTCATCGTGGCTACTGGTTACGTGTGCATTTTGCTTGTTACACATCACTGAAATGAAACATTACTCCCCTTTCTATCTGTCAAAGCTCCCTACACCAGCACTGACAGGTTTCACTGTAGACAGGTCACAGGCTGCTATCCAGCAGTGCTGGCATTGGTTAATTATAATACTGAACATCTGGGTGAACTCTTGAGAAGAACATAAGTCAATTATGTACATGTAGTATGTTTACTCATAAATGAACCAAAAAATGATGATCAGTACACACTGTTGTAACCTGACTATGCCATAAATAGTGGACTACCTGAATTTTTTAAAAAAAGCAACAGAAAGGTAGCAAACAATGAGTCTACAATTTTGGCTGTATCAGAAACACCAGGAAAAAACAATCTGCTTTTTACCCTATCTATTTCTCCTGGTGTCTGAACTTTCTGTCAGTCCAAACTGTCCTGGGAGAGGAAGCGTATATGGTCGGTCAGTCAAAAGCCTGAGGCTTCCGAGGCCACACACTGGCTCTCTGGCTGCATACTACAACTGTCTGGGGCTTTAAAAAGGCAGACACCTGGGATAATGAGAACAAACCCTGTGCAAAGAACTGTGACATAAATGTCACACACAAGACGCACACTTGGGATTTTTAAAGCTCCAGGTGATTCTAAGGTGCAGCAATACTTGAGAGGTAAAGTTCTAGGAACAGTAAAATTGCTCTGGTTGTTAATGAGGAAGGGGAGGAGAGGGGTAAAGAGGTTGTATTACTATAGTCCATGTCGGCCTGAATTTAGAATTGGCAGATTCAGCAAATAAAAATACAAGGCACTAGTTAAAGTTGCATTTCAGGTAAAAGACACAATTTGGTTTTAGTATAAATATGTTTCAGACAATATTTGGCAGATACTTATACCAGAAATTCACTCACTGTTTTCAAGTTTGAGTAAGTATTCTGTCTTTCCTTTGTCAATCTTACCCAAGCAACTAGAACTCAAACTTCAATACACAAAATGTGTATTTTGAAAAATCTAACTTTGTAAATGCGAACTATTCTGATTATGAAAATAATAAAAATCAAACTTGACTCTTAAGAACAAGAGATTATATTCTGATTATGGAACTCTGGTGGCTTTGTGGTAAGGTTACTGTTGTGGTGGTAAGAAGGGTACATGGTTCAAATCCATCAGCTGCTCTGCGGAGAAAGATAGGCAACCAACTTTCCAAAAATTCACTCCCTCTGAAAACCCACTAGAGTGTCAGCTACAGGTTGGTCCTGACTCAACAGGATACCACCACCACTACAAACACAACATTCTGATTAAGCTCAATACTGTTATTCACTTCACATCGTCCCTCAACAGCAGTATGAAACACAAGAAATCAGATTTCAAACTACGTGCCATTTAATATTTGCTTATTTCTCTTTACTTGGATAGGGTTAATTTCTATACTGCTCAAAATAACTGGTGTCTGCTTCAAAGGGAAACCAAGTAAAAAGCAATATAACGATAACTTGTCAGTTTCTAGCCAGTTACCATATTTGTAACCATTAATTTTAATGTCTTAATGAACTTTTTTTAATCATCATCTGATATTTCTAGACACTCTTGGATATGTGGAAATTAAAAACCTACTCTCAAGTAAAATAATAATATTCTTTAAATATTTTCAAAATTATTCTTTTAAAAGAGAAGAGAGTCATTATGTGAAGTTAAAAAACAGAAAAATCATATACTTACATTTATTTTAGTATTGAAAAGAATATGTCTGTAGGCCTGGGCTTTGCATAAAATTGCATTAATTAAGATGATAACAGGATCATACTCGATATATTTGTCTACAGGTTTCTGGCAGGATTTCTGGAATTCAAGATTATATTAGAATAAGTACATTCATAGATTCTTAAGTCTCAGAACTTTAATGAAGCATATTCTGGATATACATAACAATAAGATTATATCAGCACTTATTTAAATAAATCTTGATTCAGATACCACCTGTCTGTCTATATAAGCTATTTCGGAAATGGCTATGACTTTTTGGAGATACTGTTGTTACTTTTATATTCTGTGAAGTTGGAATTTATTCATAGCTGATTCTCCAGTGGGTTTTCAGAGCTTGTCAACACGCAGGAGAAGACTGCCTATCCTTTCTCCCTGGAGTATCTAGTAGATTGAAACTGCCTGCCTTTGAGCTGGCAGTGCAATACCTGAGCCATTGTTGTTAATTGCTGTCAAGTCATAGGCAACTCAAAGGAACCCTATGAATGAAAGACCTGAACACTTATATAACTTTCCTCATTTCTTCAAGTTCATAGGGTTTCTGGAGGCAAGCTATTTGGGAAGTGTATGCCACTCCTGCTTCCAAGCTTGTTTTAGTGGGGAGCTCCATCAAGGCAACCATTATTGTGTTTGACACATCAGTGTCACAGGCCCGAGGGCCCAAATGTCTTTTTCAAAGGAGGCCAAATACAATCAACTCCCATCCAATGGCAAGTAATCATTCCACCCTAATCCTCACCAGAACCAGAAAGAAAAGCCTGTATAGAATAAGGCTGCTCCAGACTACTTCCCAACCTAGATTCCAGCCCCATACTGGTGACCAAATGCCGTTTTAGATGTTGTTGAATGCCGTGTAGTCACGCACAGCTCATAGCTATTTGGAGTGCAGAGTCCTTTCCTTCCTCTCCTAGAATGGCTACTGAGAGAATCCAGTAACAGGAAACAGCAGTTGGGCTTTTTCTCTCTGTGAAACTATCCAACCCTTTCCCCCTATATTCCCAGGAATAGTTATCTGTGACCCTAGTCCATTTTCCTATCTTGAAGGAAGCATCTGTATGCATCCCCTTCCCCAAATCCCTTGTAAGAAAGTATAAAACCCCCCTCTAACTCTTAGCGGGGGCTGGTCTTCTCCTTGAGAGCCAGCCTGGCAGTTTCTCCTCAATAACTGTCTATCTGCACTGGGTTCTGACCTCCCTCGTGACCTAACAGCAAAGGCCTGAAGCCTTTTAGGCCAACAGAATTTCTTCCTTATCAGTATTTTAATATTCTATTAAAAAAACTGGAGCTCTGGTGGCCTAGGGATAAGGGTTGAACTACCAACCTAAAGGCATAAAGCTCTAACTCACCAGCTGCTTCGCAAGATAAATATGCACTATCTTCTCCTCCCATACAATCTGCTGCTTCTGAAAACCCACTGGCGGGTCAGCTATGTATGAGTCAGTGCTAACTTAACAGTACATAAAAGCATTCAAGAAACTAAAAAGAATTCTGTTTAAAAATTAATTTTAGGCAGGAAAGTTTCCCAGAAAATTCTACTTTCAATTAGCAAGAACTGTTAGAACACAAATAATAATGAACTTTAATTGGTGGATTTCTGTTTGCTGAATTTATACTCACACCCCTTCTACTCCCTCGAATTTTACTAACACATTACTGTCATAGGGAGTCTTGGGTCTCATAGCTGGCCACCCAGTGGGTTTTCAGAGGCAGTGAATAGCTGGGGAGGAGATGACCCTCTTTCTCCCATTAAGCAGTTGATGGATTCGAACCGCCCGCCTTTAAAAGGCAGCACAACTCCTTACCACTAAGCCACCAGAGAAAAACAGACCATACTTTTCTAGGGACAACTATCACTAAAACAGCAACAGGTGACCAGAAGTTGGATAAAAATCCATTATACTTAGGTTCTTTGTAGTGCCAAACAGAGAAACTTAAGACTCTGTGGACTACTAAGTCTTAAGATTGTATTCAATAAACCAACACCGTCAAAGTGTAATTTGTTCTTATTCAACTTTTTTCCTTTTAAAGTGCCAACACTTAGCAGGGCTTGTATATAACAGATACTCAATAATTAAAATAAGAGTAACTTGAAAAACAGTATTGTAAAAAACTCAATACGGCCTGTGGAGAATAGTCATTTGAGGGGTAATGGAAACTTACGATTAAAATAGCTCTGGAACGACCCAACATCACAAAAATTTGGGGGTGGCTGCCTGCAGGTGTAAGTTAGGTGGAGTCCTAACGGTGCAGGGAGGACCCGCAGGCCTTGTCCACCAGGTCACCCAGGGGATAGGACATGCTGTTGGGATGAGGCCTGGATACCCGCAGGCGTTGTGCGGGCTACCCAGGGCACTGGTAGCACCAGGACAGGCCGGGACCCAAACCCCCAAAGGACAGGATCTGCTACTGGGTCAAGAGCTTGGGAAGTGGTGCGAGGTCGCTGTCTCCAAGTATCGGGGGGAGGCGCGCCGACATTTACGTCCACACTGCACACCTGCTGTCAACGTGAAACCACTGGGTGTGAATCCCACTGTCCATTAGTACACTTCAGACCTCCTGCGCCATCCCTTTTTCAAGGACACCCCAAACCCCATGACTCACGCAAATGGTTATCTTGAGCACACCGTGGTGATAGTCTCGGTACAGCTCCTTGGCTTCTTCATTGCACTCGATGCACCTGTACTGGCAGGAGGCCGATGCCGCGGGAGGAGTGGCAGCCGCCCCCTCGATGCCGCCTTTCCCTGGCCGAGGACCGCACCTCCCGCCGGTGCCCATGGTCCACAACTGTGCCGGGAACTTCCGGCTCGGGGCGGGGCCACGGGGGGGGGAGCGTGGCGGAGGTACTGTGCCTCGCGGTGCCTCCTGGGAGTCGTAGTCCACGCGATGGGAGCCGGCTGGAAGCTCGCGAAGCTGGGCCTACAATTCCCAGAAGGTCGCAGCAGGCTTCTCCTACCCCCGCTTCCCGTGGCCCACCTGCCCTGTGGCGGCCCGCAGGTGGGAGGCCGGAGTACGGGCGGAGGGTCATCGCACATGCGCCCTGAGGGAAGATGGCACCTGCCGGCTTCTGCAGCTACTGCTGGGGCGGTGCTGTGCCCGCCGGCGCTGCCCGGCGCCTGCTGCAGCTGCTGCTGCTGCTGGCCGCTGGACTGCAGCTGGGGGTCCTGGCCACCGAGTACTACTCGCCGCTGGCCTTGCTTAAGCAGGAGCTGCAGCACCGGCAGGAGGCCGGTGCGGGCGGCGGCTGCAACTCGCAGTCCGGAGCCTGGGGGGACCAGTACTCGGCCGAGTGCGGCGGTGAGTGAGCTGTGGTGACTGGGCAGCCTGGGGGGCGGCCCAGCCCGGTGCTACCGGCCTGCGGGAGGCGGCGATCGGGCGCATTGGAGACGATCCCCGCCGCACTGGGTCCCTCTCCGCCCACGTCTGGTCCGCCTCGGGGAGGGCAAGGATAGAGGGGAGCTGACAGCGAGCCCCAACCTGCTGTCGCTGGTAGCGACTGGGGGCCGGCTCGGGACTATGCTAGGCCTGAACACCACCAGGTTGTCTGACCCTTTAGGTTCATAGATAAACGACGCCCCCCAGCCGAGCAAGCCTGTTTTATCTGCTGATTTGACTTGCTACTAGCATTGACCTTAGTTCCCATACTGCAGCGAGGAGCTTCTGGGCACGGAGCAGTGCTGCCCACCTCAGGCCAGCTGCATTTAGTCCTGGGGGTCGAAAGTAATGGGAGATGGCCCAGGGCGGCATGCGCTTGGAAGGTTTTGCTTTGAAGGTCTGTAGTGGAGTTTTTGCTCCTCAAGCACCTCTTCTTCCCCTGTATGAGTTACTTTGCACTCTGATGAAGTCTGGTCCTAGGAGCTGGTTGATTGCTTTTATGACCTGACATCAAATGATGGCGTTTTGTAAGAGCAACAATTTTAACAAAGAACTTTTTCCCCAACAACTTAAATGGGGAGAAATGATGATGAGAGCTGAACAGAAAATTTCAGGAGGTGGCTGGAGAAGACAGAGCAAAGTTTTATAATGAAATGTGCAAAGATTTCAAAGCACTCTATGGATGTCATGGGTTGCACTGTTCCCCTCAAAAATACATGTACTGCAGCCTTCAATATGAATTGAAACTCAACATCAAGAAAACAAAAATTCTTAACACTGGGCATCATTCTTAATACTGACAGCATCATGATAGATGATGAAGAGACTGAGATCGTTAACAACTTTAGGTTACTTGGCTCCACAATCAACATTCTTGGTACCAGCAGCCAGGAAATTGAGAGACGAATTGCATTGGAAAAGTCAGCTGTCAGGGATCTCTCCAGAATACTGAAGAGCAATGATGTCAGGCTGGAGACTAAGGTGCACCTGATTCAGGCCATAGTCTTGGCAGTTGCTTGTTATGCTTCAGAGAGCTGAACAATGACTAGAGATGATAGAAAGAGAATTGATGCCCTTGAGCTGTGGTGCTGGAGAAGAGTGCTGAATATACTATGGACTGCCAGGAGAGCAAACAGGCTCATCCTAGAGAAGGTGAAGGCAGCCTGCTTCTTGAGACAAGGATTCTTCTGAGGCTTTGTCTGACATATTTTGGGAATGTTGCAAGGAGTCCTTGGAGAGGAACATCATGCTTGAAAGGGTGGAGGGACAGAGAAAGAGAGGGAGACCGTTGATAAGATGAATTGATACAGTGACTGGGGTAATGAGGGAAGGTGTGTCGGAGACAACAAGATTGGCACAGGATAGAGCAGGTTTCAGGGCTGTTGTATATAGGGTCACATGAGTCGTAAGCGACTAGACTGCACATAATAAAAACAACAACAATAATGATAAAATATGGAAGCTGTGTCATGGTCACCCATGAAATGATAAAGCCAAATAGTTGTAAAGGATTGAGGCTGGAATGCAGCACCCCTTAATTGTACCACAGTCTCCTTGGAATGTAAAGGTGTTCCCCTAAGGCATGACCTGCAGATAAATGGGGAAGGAAGGGAGCTGTTTCTTGCTCCCACCAAGAAAGAAGTGCTGGAAGAGAAGTGCCTGTTTTTGGACCTTGGCCCCTTGTGAGGAAGACCCTAAAGCCCAGGGAAGGTCAAGGCACAGGGTGGTCTCTTGGGAAAGCTGGACCTACAGATACTGAAGGAAATAAGGCTTTCTTCCACCACCTATAAAGAGAGGATGGCTGTCATTAAAGCAGGCATCCTGAATGTGCACTTCTAGCCTCCAAACTGTCTCTGTAGAACTGACTCATAGCTGACCTTCCACTAGGTTTTCATAGGCTGTGAATCACGTGGGAGGAGATTGCTCATCATTCTCCTGTGGAGCCACTGGTAGAGAAGCCTGGCCTTTGGGTTAGCTGTTCAACTTTCTATGGACTGTGCCACCAAAGCTTCTAAGCTTTAAGAAAAGAAATTTGATTGTTTATACCATCTACTCATGATATCTCTGTTATCACATCACTAGATAACTAAGATACTTCACATTTCTCAGCTGAAAGAACTTGAGAAAAAATGTCAAGTCTTCAGTTACAGTAGTAATGAATACTGCAGACAAAATGTGGCATGACACAGGAAACATGAAAAGAAGTTGGAAGGATCCACAGAGGCTCTCAGCCATTTCAGGAGCTGGCAGGTGATCAGGATCCAATACCAAGGGAAGAAGTTCAAGCTGCCTTGAAGGCTTTAGTAATAAACAAGGCTCTGAGAGTTAATATCAACTGAAATGTTTCAACAAGGGAATACGGTGATGGCATATTTGCTCATCCTCACTATGCTATGAAATTTGGAAGATAGCTGCTTGGCCAGCTGACTGGATCCAGATTAGTGCCCATTCTAAAAAAAAGGTCATCTAACAGAATTTAATATTTTTTTATTATACTACTTTATTTATAAAATTTTAATACATTGTTTTCAAGAACATATTCTTCTGGTTTCCCTCTCACCCCCATCAAATTGTACAACTCCATGTACCTCTCCCCTTGCACATCCACATTCCTCTGCTTCCACCCTCCCCCCTCCAGGATCCTTGTACTCATTCTCCAGTAATGGTTTTATACAATATTTGTCCTTGTGGGACTGAGTTAGTTGACTCAACATAATACTCTCTTGTTTCTCCCAAGTTAGGTAAGTATTTACAAAATCATTGCTCCTGTGTGCTGCATAGTATTCCATTGTGTGAAATGTACCATAATTTCTCAATCCATTCGTTTGTGTTTGAACATTTGGGCTGTTTCCCTGTTCTTGTGATGGTGAATAATGCTGCTGTGAACATTGGGGTACAAGTTTCCATTTGTGCCTCAGTTCTCATTTTCTCAGGATATGTTCCAAGCAGTGAATAGGTGGATCATATGGAATTTCTATGTTCAGCTTTTAGAGGAAGCTCCAAACTGCCTTGCAGAATGGTTGTACCATTTTACAATCCCCCCAATATAGTATAAGAATTCCTTTCTTGCCACATCCTCTCCAACATTTATAACTTGCTGCCTTGTTGCTGGAGTGAGATGGTACCTCTTTGTGATTTTGATTTGCATCTCTTTTATTGTCAGTGATTTTGAACATTTCTTCATGTGCCATTCTAATATCTTCCTCTGTGAAAATTCTTTCCATGTCTTTTGCCCATTTTGTAATTGGGTTATCAGCCTTTTCCTTGTGGAGGCCCAGGAGTATTCTGCAGACTTTAATTATGAGACTCTTGTCTGAGATAGTATTACCAGATGTTTGTTCTCAGTCTGTAGGTTTCCTTTTCACTCTGTTGAAAAAAGTTTTTAGGGGAGCTCTGGTGGCCTAGTGGCAAGAAGCTGCACTGCAATCCCAGAGGAACATGGTTCGAATCCACCAGATGCTCTGCCGGAGAAGGAGGCGCAATATCCTCCTGTACCAGTCAGATCTGATTTGACGGTACACGCACACAAAATTAAAAAAAAAAAATTAAAAAAAGAAAAAAGAAAAAAGAAAAAAGTTTTTGATTCACACATGGATTTAATCTTTATAAGGTCCCATTCATCAATTTTATCCTCTTCAGATTGTGCACTTCTGGCTGTATTTGGCAGTCTCTTTATACCTTGGACTAGCACTTCTAAGCTTCATCCCTGTTTATCTCTTATGAATGTTATGGTTTTGGGCTTTACTCACCTTGGGTTGATTTTTGTGTATGGTGTGAGATGTGGATCCTATTTCAGCATTCTGCAGGTAAAGTCCAGTTTTGCCAACACCATATGTTGAAGAGCTTATCATTCCCCCATTTGATAGGTTTTATTTCCTTGTTGAATATCAGTTGACCATAGTTAGCTGGGTCTATTTCTGGGTTCTCAATTCTGTTCCATTGGTCTATGTGCATGTCATTGTACAGTAAGTACCATGCTGTTTTGGTTACCACTGCTGTGTAATAAGTTTTGAGGTCAGGGAGTGATATGCCTCCCACCTCATTTTTGTTTCTCAGAAATATTTTGCTTATTTGGGGTCTCTTGCCTCTCCAAAGAAATTTGATAATTTCCCTTTCAATTTCCTTGAGAAACGAATTTAGTATCTGGATTGGGAGTGCTTTGAATTTGTAGAATGCTTTTGGTAGGATTGTCATTTTCACCATCTAACAGAATTTTAGAGCAATGTTATTCGTATCACATACAATTAAAATTTTGCTTAAGATTATTCTAAAACGACAGGAGCAGTACATCAACAAGGAACTGGCAGAAATTCAAGCTGAATTTAGAAGAGGTGGTAGCATGAGGTATATCATTGCTGATGTCAGCTGGATTTTGACTGAAAGCATCAGAATACCAGAAATGTGTTTATTTGTATTTTATTGACTATGCAAAATCCTTGGTGTGGTAACAAATTATGGATAACGTTATGAAGAATGGGAATCTCAGAGCACTTAATTTTACTCGTAGGAAACCTCTCTACAGACCAAGAAGCAGCTGTCCATGCAGAAGAGGAGGATACTACATGGTTTAAAATCAGGAAAGACATGCCCTGTGCTGTGTCTCTTCACCTCACTCATTCAGTCTGTGTGCTGAGAAGCTGGATTTCGTGCAGAAGAATGTGGCATCACGATTATAGGAAGACTCCTCGACAGCCTGCTGTACACAGATAACAGATCCAAACCTTACCCTGTGCTGCACCATCCTCACTGTCTCTGTCACACTGAAGCCCATTGTAGTTGCTGTGGCATTCCATATTGTTGAGAGTCTCCCTTTCTTTCTCTGACCTTCCACCCTTTCTAGAGATGTTGCCCTCTAAGGATTGATTCCTCCTGAGAATAGATCTAAAGTGAGTGAGGTGACATTTCACCAGCTTTGCTTGTAA